ACCAATTAGTGTTGCTCTCTGAGTATTGATGGACAGGAGACAGGCCACCGATGTCCAAGGGGAAAGTTAACTTAATAGCTCTATACAGGGAGGGGTGAACAAAAAGCGGGAACATGCCTGCACAAAATTGTTGTAACTTATTAAGGGTGTCGTTGTCGAAACACGCCATGGGTGGAAATATGGAGAAAACTTGGTTCATCTCCGCTACCATGGACCAAATCTGCTGCCCGGCCACACCGGCACGTATGACCGTCAAGACCCTCCTCGCATTTGGGAAGTTCATTGGATCTTCAACATCTAATCCCCAATTTTTCTGAGTCTTTAGATTCATTAGTTTTTTTGAATGAAGAAAAGCCTTGTTTTCCAATTTCTTGGAGACTCGGCACACGTCCACTCCTATGTTGTATATGGGTTTTGGTTTCTTTATTTGTGAATTTTCTGCAGTATCAGGAGACGGACTCCTTTCTCTTTTCGATAGTTCTGATTTTGGAGGAGTGCAGGCGGGAGTTTTGACTATGGAAGGCTTTGGGGTAATGGGGGTATTGGTAGCAGTGGGACGGTCTTTTGAAGCAGCCTTTTTTAAAGTTGTAAATTTGGAGGACGTGGGAGATGGGGATCTCACGACAGGGGAGGAGCCCTAATGTGTTGCTTAGAAGAAGTGGAAGACAGTGTCGAGGATCTAGGGCCAGATTTTTTAGCTAATCTTTTTTCCTTGATTCCTTCAGTTTATGTAGTCTTCCTGCCTTCTCGAAGGAAGGCTCATAATTTATTCTTTGTTGGCACAGTTAATCTGCATAGCGGTTCGAGCAGTTGCCCTTTGAGCTGGTAGAGGGAATGGTACTGCATGTGTCACTAACCTTGGGGGCTTCATTGGGACGAGGACTCGCTGCTAGGATCTTCCTTCTAGCCTTACCAAAAACCTGCCATTCCCCCTTTTTCTTCTCCGTAACCGCACGAGCAAAGGCCTTTTGAGGAGTGGGGGCCGGTCCTGGCTGCTGATATGCCCATTACAGGCGAGACGGAAACAAAAAACTCGCCCAGAGGGGAATTTAGGACGGCGGGGGCCAGAACTCCAGAGGCCTTCTCTGCGCAGGAAGAGGAGAGATGACCAGTCTCTAAACACTTCCAGCAATTGGTCTTCTGTCTGTAACTATGATAGGCATCTTCTGGCCCTCAACACCCAGGCAGTTGGGGATGGAGACGACGGCCTTGCGATCAACCATTATTTCAAAGCTCCATCCCCCAGGCAGATCATCGGAGGAAGCATTAAGTATCTGTCCGAATTGGCACAGATAAGCGGTCAGGTGTTCCCCAATAATCTGAAAAGGGACCTCGTATGCTGCCACAGTGGGCCCACGCCTGCTTTGATACTCGGTCCTCAGAATCAGATCTTTAGTGATTAGATCACGAGTGCTGATTGCTTCGCAGTCGGCAGGCGTAGGCAACAGTATACCCCACATGAAAAAAACTTTTCCTTTGATGACTCTCTGCAGTTTAACCTCAAGTTTCTTCAACGATTTTATGACGGTATCTTTCGTGGAGCGACAAATTTTGCGCGAACGCTTGTCGGCCACAAAGACTGACACAATTCGTTTCTCAAACTTCTGCAGTTCCTCAGGATTTGACAATAGTCCATCTTTGGTAACAAGATGAGCGTACTCCTTGGCTTTCTCCAGGAATTCCGTTATATTGATCTTACATTTCGGAGGGGGATGTCCAGCAGGAGGGCCTCTTCCTGACCGCTGAGTTATCATCTTTGTTGTTGTCAGTAGTAGATCTGGGAGAACTTGGGCTTGTTTCCGCCACTATATTCTCAACAATCTTTTCTGCAGTGCTTGAACTTAGGCCTTCTTCGGCCACCATATATTTTCTAAATTCTGGCCATTATTGGCCATCATATTTAAAACTTGGCCATTTCCGGCCACCATATTCTCAGATAAATTTTGGCTGTTACTGGCCACCATATTATCCACCGACTCGGAACCAGTTTTTGTTAGATTGATTATCAGGGCGATCATTTTTCTTCTCTTTTTTTTTGTCTCAAATAAATTTTTACGCATCGTCTTTTTGGCACACATTCAGTATTTTTTATATATGTAAAGTGAAAGGGAGGAGCGTTTTGGAAAGAAAAAAATAATATACAATTAAGCTTAACAAAAATAGAAAAGACGAAATAGACAGCCTTAAACAATAATCTTAAATAAAAATGAGACAAAAAATTTAACCAGACAAAAAGGAATACACAAAGCAATAGGACGTGTAAAATATAAACGAGAAAAAGTGAAAAGTTAAAGTTAAACGATAAAGACAAAGATAAAACAAGTAACAATCACAAGCTATCTTTTAAAACGGAAAAAGAAACGTTACAAGTACAAAACAAAAAATTAATACAATAATACAGGCGAAAAAGAACGTTTAACAATAATAAAAAAAGATTAGCGTCAAAAAAATACGAAACAACCAATTAAGAAATTTTCAATATGGCCGCAGTTAAAACAAAGTCCGACCAGAAAACGAACGAAACACAAACAATAACAAAGACAGTGAAATTTAACACAGAAGGATTAACGATAAAAATACGGACTTAAAAGATATATAAAACGGAAAGCAAGAAACAAATTAACACGTCATAAATAAAGAGAAATGAAAAATAAGACAAAATAAACACGTAAAAACAAAGGAAGATTTTAAGAGGAGGTTTACAGAAAATTAACAAAAGAATATAAAATCAAAATAATCATAAAAGAAAAGGAAAAATGGATAATGTAAAATGAGGGGGAGTGAAAAAAAAGAAAAATATCAAACGTTTGCCAAAAAACTGTCAGTAAAATATAACTTAAGAAAAAAATTAAAAAAAACAACTTATTGTAACAAAAGAGTTCAAACAAACAAAAAGACCGTTCACATTGCCAGAAATTTCACGAGTTGAAAGAATTACCGGTCGTAAACGGTCGGTAAAAAAAGGAACGCTACTTCTAGAATAGAAATAACAATCGTTTAGTCATCAACTACTTCCTATATATATGCGTTTCCTCTATGGTCACGTGGTCTACTTAATTCAATGATGGGATCGCCTGTGTTTGGTCACTGGCGATCTATGTTCAACTCAAGTGTCGGCAGCGACACTTTATTTCTATATAACAAAACTGGACGAGAGTTCCACAAGAGATAAGATCGAGAGAAGAAACAGTTAACGTAGAACTTACGGTTACATTTCAACTCTAAAATGATGAGACCTAGTTTAGTATTCCGATTAAATTCATTAAATCTAGGCACCGTAGAGGAAAGTTTCGCAGAACAATTACCATGAAATTATCTAATGTATGAGTTTGGAAATAGCAGGAAATTCGCAAACATTTAATCGTAGGCAAAATGCTTGTTAGATAGTGACATCAACCTGTAAAGGAAGTATTTTTGCGATGATGATTTGACACGTTAGCTTATAAATTATTATTCATATATAAGAGCCATCAATTGATTAGCCAGGCACACGTTAATGGCATTGTAACTGGCCATTCGGCTCAAATCTACTGGACGCTGAAATGAATCTGCCGTTCATATACTCAAGGCTATTTTGACCTTTGTTAAGCGACTACACAACGGCTTTTGCCCTGTAAAATTAGCCACTCTCATGAAGCTGCTTTTCAGTATCTAAATAATACATTATTAACGATATCCAGCGTTGTCAGTTTTAATAGCCATATAATTACGAGGTCGACACGGACGCTGTACGCATTGAATCGGTTAACTGTAAGGCACTTAGGAAATTAATAACCTCGGAGCATTGGGAATTTTGTGGCTGCCGTAACGAACAAGAAAACTTGGAAAGCAAATGAGGGAATTCAGAATAAACCGGTTTCAGCTTTATCGAAGAGGTCTCTAAAAGTGTTGGTTAGTTTATATGTAAGCCGATTCTCTTGGACAGATATAAGTTTGGATTTACGTTTGGGGTTCATTTGTTTCAGACCTTGTGCTTTGAAAATAAAATAATGATTTCTTTTGAACTTGCGCAGCATAATTTATTTACATTATTTAACTTCGGCCGTTGGGTTCTCTGACCGTCTTCATTTGGTTTTCGATCCGAATAACTTCCACGCAATTTTGAACTGAACCCTTTATGTAATCTACGGGAGTAGATTGTTCTCGATTCGCCGTCAATTAATCACAGACAAAAACTCACAAGTCTTTCGCTGGTCTATCGTTATTTCCAAGGTAAGTCTTCAAACGAGCTACATTCATTAGTTCCACCAGTTGCATGCTTCACGGCTCAGACCCGCCATGACACGCATATTGTAGCAAACTAGTTTCATTCCCTTCGTATCCCATTTGTGGGGAGGTTACGGTCATATATCGGTTCCACTACGATCGCCGAAGGTAAGCAATATTATGGACTAAAACAATTTAGTATGTCCTCGTATAGTGGCTTAACAAAAGTTTGAGTTCAGAATTGAGAAGAAACGTACCTTTTACCAAAGTGCTAAAAGGTGACAATTAACCACTAGCCAAAATCTCACTGTTCATTATTTGTTATAAACAAACTAACCACATAACATTGAAACACTGGTTCCCGTATGATCACCGAAGTTAAGCAAAGTCGAATCTGGATGGGTGACTGCTTGTCAATACCAGGTGATGAAAGTTTGGATGCGCAGGTGGCTCAATGGTTAATGGCACGGAATTTTTAATTGGAGAGCCGAGTTCTAATTCCAGTTATTGTTGTTATATTTAGTTACGCGCAAATACTGTTGGGAAAAGTATGAATCCACCTCAATCATCCAATCAGCAGTCGAATGTTTATTTTTTTGTAGGGGATACGGGAGATAATAGTCGTTTATTTACACTATTTAATCGTTTAGTGATACAACTGTTACTAATTAACCCATAACTGGGAGAGAAGAGTTGGATTCATACCTTCCCCAGGGGTATTTGCACGTTAATATAACGAACCGAACGGATATTGGAACTCGGTTTTCCGATTAACAATTCCGAGCTGTCCAAGCTTACCGCGCCCAATATTCCCAAATGGTCACCCATCTAGGTACTGATAAGGCTCGACGTTGCTTAACTTCTGTGATCATACTGAAATCGGTGTTTCAACGTGACGGGGCCGTAAGCCAAGTTAATGGTTGAACAAGCACATGACGTGTTCTCTGACAATAAAATATCCGTGGAGATTCCCCCATCCCATCGTTACATATTTGAGCTTAACAACGTTAAAATAATTTAAAATTACAATCATAAATATGAATTCTGGTCGTTATTTAAAGAAGTGAGGGGGGGTGAAAATGAAAAGATTTGAAATTGGTAATTTTTCCATCTCCCTGAAGCAAACATTAAACATATGAGTGTAGTACGCCATTTCTTTCACTTTCTCATTGAAGCCAAGTAGCGTCTCTGATATGTCTTTTCCGTCTTTCCCCCGATGAAAACGGAATAGTCCATTATTTATGAGATATTGACAAGGCGTAACGTACGTGCTAACTAATGAACTAAGGGCTGGACAAGCAGAATTAAGGTAGTTTCTAATTTACATTTATCTAGTGCCGGTGTCGAAATAGCAGGAGATTTTCACCCTTAATCGAAACAGAGTTTTTGACTGACTGGGTTTTTTTGGTTTTTTTTTTCTCTTTCAAACTGATTTTTCTTTCTTTCTTTCTTTCTTTCTTTCTTTCTTTCTTTCTTTCTTTCTTTCTTTCTTTCCATTCCTATTTCTTACTTTCATTCTATTATTAAATAATTTCTTTGTTTTATGCACACTTGAAACATTCATTTTTCTTTTTCCGATTGCTAAATTATTCTTTTCTTATTTATTTTTCTTTCTTTCTTTCTTTCTTTCTTTCTTTCTTTCTTTTTATATACTCCTTTAATTTTCTTTATTTTATCCTCTACCTAGTCTTTCTCTATTTTGTGTTTGTTTCTCTCTTTTTTCCATTTCTAAGTTCTTTCTTTCTTTCTTTCTTTCTTTCTTTCTTTCTTTCGTCTGCTACTGTAATCTTATTTCTTTTATTATTTATTTAATCTTTATCGCTTCTTTCTTTCTTTCTTTGTTATCTTTTCTTCCTTTTTTCCATTCCTAAATTCTTTCATTCTTTCCATTTTTAAATCCTTTCTTTCTTTCTTTCTTTCTTTCTTTCTTTCTTTCTTTCTTTCCATTTCTAAATTCTTTATTTTCATTTCTAAATTCTTTCTTTCTTTCCCTTTCTAAATTCTTTCTTTCTTTCTTTCAATTTTTTAAATTCTTTCTTTTTCCTTTTCATTTCCAAATTCTATATTTATTTATTTCCATTTTTAAATTCGTTTTTTTTTATTTCTTTTTCAATCTTTCAATTTTACCGTCTCAGTTTCCTGATTTGCCATCTCCAGCCATTTTGTTTTCTCAACATCATAATTCAGTCTTTATTCTCCTTGATATCATCCCATTCTATATCCGCCAACGTAACTGACCAACTTGGCTAATGACTTCACAGCATTTCCTCAGTCCACAAGCCAAATATTTCCACTCAGTCAATTGAATTGGGCACTCAGTCAAGAAGACGAAAGAGAGAAAATTCTTCCATATTCATGAACATCCAATTAAAACAAGATCATAATGACCGACATTCGAAGAAATTAGCTTCTGCTCGTTATAACCACAAGATTTTTCTTGTCGGAGGCTAAAATTTTCAGACTATTATGATTTTACGATGTGTTTCTGATAACATTGGAAGTTATATTACGTGTGAAAAGAGATATCTATGTACAGATATGACATTGCAGGTGTGAAAATAATTCTGAAATACCAGGACTAAAACAATGCCAAACAAGCGGTTTGTAAAATGTCATGGAAATGGATCTGCACAAGCAATTCACAGTCTTTTTTTTTTCAGCCTTTCTCTGGTCATATATGAAAAGTAGAAAAAAAGCAGACAAAGAAAATTCTTATACAGAAGACACTTAAAGATTCCTATAACTTTCCAGAAACGTTGGCAATACAGGGTGTCTATAAAGTTCGTGTGCACTTTAAAAAATTTATAACTTTATTTGTATTTGCTATAGAAATAATTTGTAAAAAGGATTAGAAAGAAGTAAATCTATATTTTTTAAGGTTTTATTGAAATTTTATTTAAGTTTCCACATGTCCTCCATCATTAGCAATACAAAGGGTAATACGATTTTGAAGTTCACAGAAAACATTTGCCAACTGATTTACAGTAATGCCTGAAATCACATTAGTTATTTTAGCCATACTTAAAACTAGGTACATTAAACTTTATAACATTTTTTACAGATTATTTCTATCACAAATACAAATAAAGTTATAAATTTTTTCAAATGCACACGAAGTTTATGGATACCTTGTATGAACTCTCAAATCAGAGATGATAAAAATCCAGAGAGGATACTTAACCTCTTGCAACTGTGTACCTTGACGTGGTGTAATGGTTAGAAAGCGTGCCTCGCTAGAACAATTACGACTGAGTAGTGAGTTCGATCCTCACTAGATGCCCCATACATTCGGCCTTGTGCCACATCTAATCTACGCTTCGAAAATCACCTTAACCACTTGCAACTGGAATAAATTCTATGACACTATATTAGTGATAAATCACGTCAGCAGTTTCATAACAATCATTTCATTTACAGACTTCATTAATATCTATAATCCATCGTTTTCTAATTCATTGCCAGAGTAAGAAGACCCATGCCGAATGAAATTACTTAAGAGTTATATTGTCAGATGTTCTAAGAAAAGGTGGCGCATCGTGAACTTTTGACAAACAAACCTAAGCTTATCAAATGCGTGCATGACAAAAAATCAGTTTTATAAATGCCAACTTATATATTTGCTTTCGTAATAGAATATTTGCTTCTCTGAATCAATATAATTTAGAAACAAAGCCGAAAAAAGTGCTTTGTAAACATGTTCGCACCTACTGCGGTATTGCCACAAACTTCAATGAAGTGCACTCTTCACGTTTGCTTATATTAAACAAACTGTCAAATATATACTTTATATTCAGTTATAGTTCGCATTAAAAACATGTAAAATGATAGCGTCTCTTCAGACGAGTTATAAATTGTATAGAGAACACTATCTCCTCATACCACTTGATGTAGGCCTCTATGTTGAGTCTAGGGCCCTTTCTGAAAATGAATGGAGGTACCACGTCGCTAAACACCTACGTATCGCCATTAGACTCATCCAACACTTTCAGAATCCTCTGCAATCTCTTTAGATTGACATCGGAAATGTTCGTATTGAAGCTTCCGGTGGGAATACAGTACAGTATTCCGTTTCCAGATCTCTGACAGAGCAAATTGCATCATGGTGCTCTTTTTCTCACAGATGGTGCCCAACTGATCCTACTGTACTCTGCAGTCGACAAAGTAAAAAACAATCAATACGCATGCGCGAAATTAAAATATAAATTCGCGCCGTGGGTTTGTTTTCTTATTTTTAAAAAATAATATAGCGTTTATTTATTTATTTATTTATTTAAATAAAGGGTTTGGAGATCAGTTGATAAAAATCGCCCGAGGTAAGGTTAAAACCAAGGTCGTGAAGTCAACTGATCTCCTATTTTTTAAAGTGTAAAGCTCTACATGTAATTTTATATTTTTATTCTATTTTATTTTTTATTTATATTTTTTTAATACTACTGTTTCCTGGTCCAATTCAAACCTAACCATTAACTTTTTATGTATATATATATATATATATATATATATATATATATATATATATATATATGTATGTATGTGTGTGTGTGTATGTGTGTATGCGTGTGCGTTCATGTGAAGTATATGTAGGTAACAAGTATTCATTAAATTCAAACGACAAGCTCTGTTTAATTTTTTGAGACTGCATCGTGAAGTATATATAAAATATTTACTACACGTATAAAACATTATACTGATGAGTTTTCTGGTCCGTTCTCTCCTCCTTTACCGTTAGAAATAACGTCAGGGTGCACTTGAACTTTCTGCTTTCCAAAGAGCACCAGGTTGTAAGCAACAAAATCTTGTCTACCACATGGACAACAGATGGTTCTGGAAAACGACTAAGTTGGTCGGAAATACTTGAATAACAACAACAAAACAGACACATACTTTAGGCAGTTTATCCAATTTTGATCCCAATGTATATTTTATTCAAACAGAAGAAATACATTAAGGGCAGGGGTTTACTGAATGATGTTGTTGTAAGTGCGTAAGAGGAAGAAGATGTAAGAAATCTATGAGGATATATGGTAAAGATTTTATGGGGATATGTAGTAAAAACAAAGTTTAACCCAAGACTTTAAGAGGTTAAGATTGTTCTGATTAGGTGAGCATCCTCTCGGGAGTCTGCTCCGCAAAGTAGGTGTTCTTGTGAAGAAGCAGTTTCAGTGGAACTTCCTCCTTACTAACGGAATGCGAAGGTAATGTGGATGGTTCTTCCGAGTGAGCGTAAAATAGCGGATCTTGGCTGTGAAGGTCAGAACTAGTGGAGCTAACGAATAACGCACACACACACACATATATATATATATATATATATATATATATATATATATATAAAAGAGAGAGAAAGACAGTGATTAATATCTTTTATTTTTATGTACCGTATCCCTTCAGTACGTAGGGGATCATGGCTCTCCACTTCATCCTATCCCTTGTAACTCTCAGAAATTTCTTCCCTCTGCCACTTTCCCCAGACCACTTTCTGTCATCCCCTTGCTTAAGCCCGCCAGCTATGTCATGCGTTCCCTTGTCTCTCTTTCCCTCTATTCGACCTGTGAGTATCAGATTCTCCGGGCCCTCTTTTCTCATTACGCGTCCTAGAAATTTCATCTGCCTCTTCCTAATGTTAAGTATAAGCCTCCTCCTTGTTTGCATCTTCTCTAAAACCTCGTCGTTATTCACACGTTCGGTCCATGATATCCTTAGCATCCTTCAGCAGAAGCATACCTCGTGTCTCTTCTTCATCTTTGAGGAGACCGTCCAAGATTTGCTGTCGTAAAGGAGGACAGATGTCACGTAGCAGCTCAGTATTCTTTTCTTTGTTACCAAAGAAATTCTCCTGTCTCTCAATACTCTGCCCAGCCTTTTGGAATGGATCCTTGGCTATCCAAATATGTC